TAGCAGAGACCTCTCCTAATAAGCCCTCCAAATCCAAGCTTAGTAGGAAAGGTGGCTCCTGCACCCTGGCTCTGGCCTCAGTACATTCACCTCTCAGGCTTCTGAACCTTCTACATCTCTACAATCATCCCCCACTTCCTTGTTCATTCATTCTCATTATTGGTGAGCCCCCATTCCCTGGCTAATGCAGCAGGTCCAGGAAAAGGGAGTAGATCCACTGAACCTGGGAAGAGGTGTAAACTTGCCGAGAAGGAGGAGCTCCAAGGGTCAAGCTGCAGAAGGTGAAACTTCCTTCAGGGCCAAAGGACTATGGCAGGGTCTGAGCCCATGGGACCTGGGCTTGCTCAGGCCCAGGGCAGGCACTGAGCAACCCACAGCGATGAGGATGGGAGGACCTGAGCTTTGAACAAGGGGAGCTTCCCAGAGCTGTGCCCAGGGATGTCGTGGACTCAAGGCAAAAAGCCAAAGACAGCACAGTACCGTATTCATGGTGGTCAGAACCATCACCCTTAGGTATTCATAAGAACCTAACACAGCAAATGAAGTCCCATTCTTTAACATTGTTTACTAAAACAACCACGCCATGCAACCAATGTAAACTTGTTCCTCCTGTGGGCTTCAGCTTCTTGTAAAGTGAGTAGCTATGCCAGCCATGCTTCGCCTTGCCAAGGCATTGCAGATGACCAGCCTCTGGTGCCCACTAGCTGATCTTCAGAACCTGGTTGCGGCAAGACTGCCTACGTGTGACGCCCACTCATTACCTGTGGTCCATGTTGCAAGGTGGTGCTGAAGGCATAGTAAGAACCTGGATGTTAAGTCTGGTGGCGTGGCTTGTAAAAGGCTACCTTTGGTCTGCTCAGGGCTTCCCACAACCTGGCAGCATCTCACACTGGAGTGGGAGAGATCACTACCCTCCTAAGCAAGCAGGGAGGTGCTAGAACCTGGTGTTACTTTTATAAGATTTATGTGCTGGAGTGTTCATCCCAGTCACCTGCAGAACTGCTTCAAGAGACTGAACGAGAATGTGGTGGTGATTAAGTATTCATTTAAGTTTTGGCTGTGAGCTCTTTTTTTCCCAAACAAAAGCTTTTAGGGAAAGTCCAATATATAATGAACATGGAGCTACTTTGAGACAAGCTGTGTGAGGCCAGGAGTCCAGCCTCCTGGCCAGCCCCTGTGCCCTTCTTCCCCAGGGACTGCTGGATGCCCCAGCAGAGCCCTGCTAACTGCATAACTCCATGCCCTCTTACAGCCCTGCCCAGGCAGAAGGGCAAAGGTCACAACAAGCCAGATTTCAGCTCAACATCCAAAGGACCCTTTTACAATCATAGCTGCCCTGCACTGGGTGGGCACTGCCTGCCACTGGGAGAGTGTGCAAGGAGAGGCTAGACAGACAGATGTAGTCACTGTCGCAGAGCAGAGCGGTGGTCACCAAATGAGGTTCCCAAGCCCAGGGTGTAACAACAGGATGATCCATTGGGATGCCTGAAAAAATGTTAGTGTTTGTCTTGGTTTCGGTTTCCCTAGAAGCCAACCCTAAGGCAAGGGTTTGAGTGCAAGCAGTTTATTTGGGAGGTGAAGAAAGCACCAGCAGGGGATGGGGAAGGGATGACAGCCAGTAATGGGTTCATTCTCAAGCAGGTTACCACTGGGGGCCACTGAAATATAACTGCACTGGGAAAACTGAAAACCAGTGTAAAACATGCATTTCAAAGGTACATCCCACAAGGGGTGAGGGATATACACCAACTTCCCTCAGTGAGGGCAGCTCCAAAGCACTGTGGAGTCCCTAGCACTTCTAGCCCTCCAAAGGCAGCAAAGCCGGCCGTAGTAGCCAGAGAGCCTTTTGCTCCATTACAGATAAGTGTCCCTCCCCAGCACACATTATTTTTGTAACACACATGAACTCATTCTTACCTCATGGCAAAATATTTTTAAAGAATTATTTAATTTAAAGTTGTGGCCAGGGGCCAGGGTGGTGGCTCATACCTGTAATCCTAGCACTTTGGGAGGCTGAGGCTGGGAGGAGTTTGAGACCAGCCAAAACCCCATCTCTATTAAAAATACAAAAATAGCTGGGCGTGGTGGCACATCCCTGTAGTCCCAGCTGCTTGGGGGACTGAGGCATGAGAATCGATTCAATCTGGGAGGCAGAGATTGCAGTGAGCTGACAATGCACCACTACACTCCAGCCTGGGAGACAAAGCAAGACTTTGTCTCAAAAAAAAAAAAGTTGTGGCCAGGCTCAGTGGTTCATGCCTATAATCCCAGCACTTTAGGAGGCCAAGGTGGGAAGACTGCTTGAGCCGAGGAATTTGAGACCAACCTGGGTAACATAGCAAGACCTCATCTCTAAAAATACAAAAACATTAGCCAGGCGTGATGGTGCAGCCTATAGTCCCAACTACGTGAGAGGCTGAGAGGTGTGAGTATTGTTTGAGCCCAGGAGATCGAGACTGTACTTAGCCATGATCATGCCACTGCAGTCCAGCCTGGGCTGGACACAGCAAGACCCTGTCTCAATAAATAAACAAAGCGGTTACACAGGTTTCTCTTATAAAAATGCAAGCATTACAAATTTGCTGACCTTCTCTCTCTTTTTTTTTTTTTTTTTCTTTTGAGATGGAGTCTCACTCTATCACCCAGGCTGGGCTGGAGTGCAGTGGTTCAATCTCGGCTCACTGCAACCTCCGCCTTCTGGGTTCAAGCAATTCTCTTGCCTCAGCCTCCTGAGTAGCTGGAATGACAGGTGCCTGCCACCATGCCTGGCTAATTTTTGTTTGTTTCTATTTTTGGTAGAGACGGGTTTTAATTGTTTTTTGTATGTTTAGTAGAGATGGGGTTTCACCGTGTTGGCAAGGCTGGTCTCGAACCCCTGACCTCAGGTCATCTGCCCACCTTGGCCTCCCAAAGTGCCGGGATTACAGGCGGGAGCCACCACGCCTGGCCTTGCTGACCTTCTCTACAGTGACAGTGATTGTCTATGACAGCCAACAGACATATTTGAGCAAATGTACTTATTTTGTAAGATAAACAGTCTCTCTAAAAAGTTGTATTGCATATATTTTAACTTGTTTAATTACTTTTATTTTTATTTGTAATTAATTCGACAGAAAAGTTGCAGTGGTAGTACGGCAATCCCCTTCACCCACCTTCCCCTGATGTTAACATCTTCTACATGAACTAAGATAGTTGTACCATTTTACATTTCCACCAGCAGTGTATGAGAGTTCCATATCCTCACCAACACTTGGTATGGTCAGTCTTTTTAATTTTAGCTATCCTAATAGGTGGGTAGCAGTCTCTCATTGTGGCTTTAATTTGCATTTCTTTAATGGCTAATGATGTTGAGTTTATTTTCATGTGCTTATTTGCCATCCATATATATTCTTGGTAAAGTGTCTGTTACATCTTTTATACATTATTTATTTTGATGTTTCTTATTATTGAGATATATATGAATTCACATACATATTCTGGACATAAGTCCTTTATTACAGCAGTCCCCAGTCTTTTTGGCACCAGAGACCGGTTTTAAGGATGACAGTTTTTCCACGGATCAGGGTGAGGTGGGATGGGGCAGCGGGGAAGTATGGTTTCAGGATGAAACTGTTCCAACTCAGCTCATCAGGCCTTAGTTATATTCTCATAAGGAGCACGCAGCCTGGATCCCTCACATTTGCCGTTCACAGTAGGGTTTAGCTCCTGAGAATCTAATGCCGAGGCTGATCTGACAGGAGGCGGAGCTCACCCACTGCTCACCTCCTACTGTGTGGCCTGGTTCCAAACAGTCCCTGGGGAAGGAGGGCACAGGGGCTGGCCACGAGGGCTGGACTCCAGCCTCACCCAGCTGGATTCAAAGTAGCTCCGTGTTTTATATTGGACTTTCCCTAAAAGCTTTTGTTTGAGGAAAAAGAAAAAAAGAGCTCCACAGCCAAAAAAAAAAAAAAAAAAAAAAAAGAATAAATGTTTCATAACCACCCAATTCCACTTCAGTTTCTTGAAGTGGTCCTGCAGGTAATCAGGTTGAATACTCTGGCATGTAAATCTGAAAAAAGTAGCATGAGGTTGCTACTTTCTGGTTGCTCAGGAGGGAGTGATTTTTCCCAATCTTAACGTCCAGGTTCTCAGTATGCCTTCAGCACCCCCTTGCAGCATGGACCACAAGTAACAGAACAGTGAGTGGGCATCACACGTAGGCAGTCCTGCTGCACCCAGGTTCTGAGGATCAGCTAGTGGGCATGGGCGGCTGGTTATCTGCAATATGTTGGCAAGGTGAATAAAGATGGTTTTACTTCTTCAGAAACAGTTGTTTTGACACGTGAAAAACTGCTTTTTGGGGTTTTGGGGGTTTGTTTTGTTTGTTTGGGTTTTTGCGACGGAGTTTTAGTCTTGTTGCCCAGGCTGGAGTGCAGTAGTGCAATCTTGACTCACCACAACCTCCGCCTCCCAGGTTCAAGGGATTCTCCTGCCTCAGCGTCCCGAGTAGCTGGGATTACAGGCATGCGGCACCATGACCAGCTAATTTTGTATTTTTAGTGGAGATGGGGTTTCTCCATGTTTGCTTAGGCTGGTCTTGAACTCCCGACTTCAGGTGATCCACCCGCCTTGGTCTCCCAAAGTGCTGGGATTATAGGCATGAGCCACCGCGCCCAGCCTTTTGGAAAACTGCTTTTTGTAAGACATTTGTGCACTGAAGAAAGTGTTTCAAGTATTTTTTTTTTTTTTTATCATTATGTGAGCTTTGTGGACGAGGCTGTAGTATCCCAGTGTCCTCTAGGGACAACCTGCTCCCATTCTCACTGACATAAAACAGTGAGGGAAGGGGGCCCACAAGGGCTGACTCAGGGATGAAGCCAGTGTTCCCCATGGCTGGACATTGCTTGAGGTCAGCAGTTTCCTCATCAGTGAGGCCCTGCCAAGCATCCAGAAGCATCCTGGGATGGTGATGGGGTGCTTCTGGAGAGTCCTAGAATTGCCGTATAATAAATGCTACACTCTCCCACCACTTTCTAACTTTAATAAACAAGGAGCCAAGCACTCTGGCTTTAGAATAGAAAGGGTCCCACAAGTGTCCACCACATCCCATCCCTTCAGTCCATCTGCTCTCTGGCCCCCATGTTCATGTCACTGGCTGAGTTGAGTTCTCAGAATAACTGATCTGCAACAAGGTATCTGCCCCCAGCTGTCCCAGAAGACACTGTGACCTTCAGGTACACAGCTCTGGCAAAGGTGATCTCCACAAGTCTCTCGCCTCTCCCAGGCACTCCTGTGTGTCCTTTCCCTAAAACCCCCCACTCCCACACCCATGCTTTCCCATGCCCATGCTCTCACCCCCAGAATTGTTTTCAGGCCTTTGGGTTCTCCGGTCACTGCGAGCTGTTCTTCACGTGTGGCTTTAAGGAGTAGGATCTGAATTGTAATCCACAGTTGGAGGACACTTCCCCTTAGTAAATGGTGTGATCCTTTCCCTTTAAAAAGAGAGAGAAATTAAATATGGAAGTGATCCTTTGGAGGAGAGGGGGCTCCTTATCCCTGGAGGGACACCCGTAGGGGATGAACAGGTACCTGTTGGTTATGCTTCACAGAAGATCCTAGACTGGTGAGAGGCCAAAATTGATGACCTCTAGACCTTTACAACAAAACAGATTCTAAAGATGAGATTCCACCAATTAACACCCAGTTAAGCTCATTAAGGCACCCAAGTTGGCTTGTAAACACTTCGGTATAAAATCATAGTGCCTGGAAGATCATCCAACCCAACCTGAGAGGAAGACCAAGGGTCAGAGAGAGGAGGGAACCTACCTGAGGGCACCTGAAGGCCAGCATCAGGGCCTCAGCCTCCCAGCCCACGAGCCCTTCGAAGATGGCACTTCCCTAAGAACCCTTTGCTGTGTGTGTCGAAGAGCATCTGCCAGCCCTTACATTACACACTTTATGTATCTGCCTGTTGTCTTTCCTCCCCAACAAGACGTGAACTCCATGAATGCAGGACTTGGATTTCTTCATCGATATTTCCCCTATGCCTAGATCATTACCTGTGCTTAACGAATATTTGTCAAAGGAGGGAGGACTCACCAGGGTAAGAGGGGTCTTTCCCACCATCCAGTGGGTTTCCATGCCTCCTGTCTCTCTACTCCTCGCCATGCCCATGGCCCCTGGCCCGGCCTCGTGCCTCATTTCTCATCCCCACCATCGAGGCAGCCTCCTTGTCTCTGTCCCCATAACAATCCATAATACCATAAGCACACTTTTTTTTTTTAAAAAAAAAAAACACCAGAATTACTTCCCACTGAAATCCTTCTGGATATCTGGGATAAAATATTTGCAAAACACATATTGATAAAGGACTTATGCCTAGAATATCTAAAGAACTCAAAGCTGAATATAAGAAACCAAGCAGCCCATTTGTTTAAAATGTGCAAAAGATTTGAAAAACACTTCACCAAAAGAAGACATCAGAGGATGCATATGAAAAGATCCTCAACATCTTGTCACTAGAGAAATGCAAATTCAAACCATCATGAAATATACTATTAGAATGGCTAAAATTAGAAAAGAAAAAACCCTGACAATACCAAGTGCTGACACGGATACAGAACCATTAGACCCCTCATACATTGCTGGTGGGAGTACAAAATGGGCCAGCCATTTCAAGATAGTTCAGCAGCTTCTTATAAAGTTATATGCACACCCACCAAATGACCTAGAAATCCTACTCCTAGATATTTACAGGAGAGAAATAAATACATCTCTCTATGTGAAGACCTGTATGTAACTGTTTATAGCAGCTTAATTAAAAATTCCCCAAACTGGAAACAATCCTAATGTCCCTCAACTTGAGAATGGATAAACAAACTGTGTCAAAACCTTACAATGCAGTCCAACTCACTATTAAAAAGGAATGAACTACAGATACGCACAACAGCATGGCTGAATCTCAACAGCACCACGTAACAAAAAGAAAAAGATACAAAATTCTACACACAGATGACTCCACTTATATGACATTCTGGAAAAACCATAACTCCAGGGATGGTAAAGTTGCCAGGGGGCAGTGGGAAGAGTGGACTGACTACAGATAGCACAAGGGGGATAAGAATATTCTAAATCTTGCCTGTGGTGATATGCATGACAACTACATGCATTTGTCATAGAATTGGGCTGGGCATGGTGGCTTATGCCTATAATTCCAGCACTCTGGGTGGCTGAGGCAGGTGGATTGCTTGAGCCCAGGTGCTCAAGACCAGCCTGGGCAGAATGGCAGAAGCACTTCTCTACAAAAAATTTAAAAATTAGCTGGGTGCAGTGGTGCACACCTGTAGTCTCAGTACTTGGGAAGCTGAGGTGGGAGGATTGCTGGAGCCCAGAAGGTGGAGGCTGCTGTGAGCTGTGTTCACACCACTGCGCTCTAGCTTGGGTGATAAGAGCGTTCACCCTATCTCAAAAAACAACAAAACCTTATAGAATTGTATACCTAAAGAGAATGAATTTTACTGCATGTGAGTTATACTATAATAAATTCAACTTTAGGCCAGGCGCAGTGGCTCATGCCTGTAATCCTAGCACTTTGAGAGACTGAGGAGGGTGGATCACCTGAGGTCAAGAGTTTGAGACTAGCCTGGCCAACATGGTAAAAACTCATCTCTACTAAAAAAATATGAAATCAGCCGGGCATGGTGGTGCATGCCTGTAATCCCAGCTACTAGGGAGGCTGAGGCAGGAGAATCACTTGAACCCAGGAGGCAGAAGTTGCAGTGAACCTAGATCGTGCCATTGCACTCCAGTCTGGGCAACAGAGAAAAAAATAAAACAAAAAAACTCCATCTCAAAAATATATATACATAAATAAATTGAACTTTTAAAGAATCCTGTGGCTTCTCACATTCAGGATAAAGTCCAAGCAGCTTAGCTATACATTCCAGGCCTCTAAGGACTGACTGAACCACCTCTCCTGCCTTATTCTCCACTATTCCCCTCTACACCCCACCATGCATCATTCAAAATGGGCCATTCAGTATTTCCCAGATCTGTCCTGAACTTTTTGCTTCCTTTCCTTTGCTCATGCTCTTCCTTCTGTCCTATTTTTTTTCTCCTCCCTGGAAGAAGAAAACCCTTGAGGAAAGAACACAGCTTGGAGCCAGCTGGACTAGAGATCCAATCCTTTTCTGAGACTGGACTAGACAGAGAGCAAAAATGGCCCAGGCCTCCACAGCTCCTTGCATTGTAGGCCTTTCCAATGCAACTTCGCAGCCTCTCCCATCACAGGGCAGAGTCCACTTCCCCTCCCCTTGAATCTGGGCTGGCCGTGGAACTTGCTTTGGCCAACAGAATGTGGTAGAAATAATGGTGTGGCATTCTAAGCCTGGGCTGCAAAAGGCCTTGCACACTTCCTCTCTCAAACTCCAGCTTCCTCCATGGGGGCAAGCCTGGGCTACCCTGCTGCAGGCCGGAGTCCATGTGGAAGAGTCTAGTTGTTCCATCCAAGACCATCCCAGACCAGCCAGCCTCCAGCCAACCCACAGACTCCTGAACAATAACAAATGGCTATTGTTTTAAGCCACTGAGTTTTTGGGTGGTTTGTTATGTAGCAATAGCTAACTGCTACAGTCAGTAACTTGCTGTGGCCCTGGGAAAGTTACTCAGTGTACTCGTCTAGATAATAAAGGCACTACTACATGCTTCACAGGGCTTTGTGATGTCTGTGAGAGATGATTTTTTTTTTTTAATTGAGATGGAGTCTCACTCTGTCTGTTGCCTAGGCTGGAGGACAGTGGTGCGATCTCAGCTCACTGCAACCTTTGCTGCCTGGGTTCAAGTGATTCTCCCACCTCAGCCACACTCGTAGCTGGGATTACAGGCACCTGCCACCATGCCCAGCTAATTTTTGTATTTTTAGTAGAGACAGGGTTTTGCCATGTTGGCCAGGCTAGTCTTGAACTCCTCACCTCAGGTGATCTGCTTGCCTCAGGCTCCCAAAGTGCTGGGATTACTGGCGTAAGCCACTGCTTACGCCACGCGGCCGAGAGATGATGTTTATACGGACCTGCGTATAGTGCCTGGCACACAGTCAACCTTTGATTAACAGTCATTATTGCCGTTCCAAGCCCGTCTCTTATCCAGCTTTTGAGAACCAGATCAAATGCTACTTCTTCCAAGCAGCCTTCCCTGCTTGGAAGGCTCCAAATTCAATGTAATACTCACCTCCTCTGAATCCCCACAGCACTTCCCCTCTCCCCATCCAATACACTCTATCCTCAACTAGAAGCAATTTGGAAAAACAGTGACAGCCTTAAACATAGGTATCCATTACAGATGTATACTCAAAGCCAGAAAAAGTGAAACGATCTGTATAGGATAGGCACAGAAAGTCTGTTCTCCTGCCTCCCAGGCCTCTGCTCCATCCAACCATTACACACAGCCCCCTTCAAGGGAGATCTCAGCAGACTTCCTTGCACGTTCTTGGCACTCAATAAATGTATCCTGAATTGAATCAGCTAACTTGGGGGTGGCATTTTCTGTCTTGAGGGCAATGAAAACATGCAAAAGGGTTTGGGGATTGTCCCAAAGACTGGGGGCCACTACTCCCCAGCCAGTCGGCAGGCACCTGGAACGCTAACCGTCCCACTGGGCAGGAGAGTCTTTCACCATGAACAAGAGGCGTCTCACCCCTCCCACAGGCCAGCAGTGCCCTGCTGTCAAAATATCAGACAGGTCTATTAATAATTCTCATGATTACTATGGGATTTTGTTACTGTTATTTTGGGTGTGTACAAGTTTATAGTTAGGCTGGGCATGGTGCCTCATGCCAATAATCCCAACACTTTGGAAAGCCAACATGGGTGGATCACTTGAGCCCAGAAGTTTGAGACCAGCCTGGGCAACGTGGTAAAACCCTGTCTACAAAAAATACAAAAATGAGCTGGGTGTGGTGGCATGTGTCTGAAGTTCCAGCTACTTGGAAGTCTGAGGTGGGAGGATGGTTGAGCCTGGGAGGTCAGGGCTCCAGTGAGCCATGATTGTGCCACTGCACTCCAGCCTCTAGCTTGACCCTTATTGGTTATCATGATTAAATACTCATCTATGTTCTACTTAAAATTTTTGCCTTGAATTCTATTTTGCTTAGTGTTTGTATATTACTACTCTTTCTTTTCATTGTTGGTTACATATATATGGCCAGAAGCCCATATATATAATAGCCAGATATATATATATATATATATATATATATATGATAGCCAGATATATATATATATATGATAGCCAGATATATATATATATATGATAGCCAGATATATATACATATATATATATATATATATATATATATATATATGTATTTGGAGATGTAGTTTCAATTGTCACCTAGGCTGGAGTGCAATGGCACGATCTCAGCTCACTGCAACCCCTGCCTCCTGGGTTCAAGCAATTCTCCTTCCTCATCTTCCCCAGTAGCTGGGATTACAGGCGTGCGCCACCACGCCCAGCAAATTTTGTTTGTATTTTTAGTAGAGATGGGGGTTTCACCATGGTGGCCAGACTGGTCTTGAATTTCTTACCTCAGGTGATTCCCCCCACTTAGGCCTCCCAAAGTGCTGGGATTACGGGAGTGAGCCACTGCACCCAGCCATGTCTTCCCCTTTCTTAAGCTGTCCATGTTAATTCATTTTTCATTTGATTGGAGGATAGTATTTTCAGAAGATGTGCATTTATTTGGTATACATCCCAACACATGCATCTCTCATTTGCCTTGCACATGAATGATTGGTCAGCTACCTACATTGTCTCTACATTGTCCCAATTATTTTTCTTGAGAATTCTATAAACAATGTTTTCTATCACTTATGTTTCGGAAGAGAAGTATGAAATATGCCTGTCTTTGATTAAGATTGCAGGTTGCAATCTAAATCAAAATCTTACAGATTGCAAGATTTTTATTTTGCCTTTTAAAAGCCAGAAATTTCACCACACTTTTCATGGATTGAATGGGTACATTAACCTCTCTCCCTCCTGAAACCTCACTAAAACAAAATAAAGGAATAAAAATGATAAGGCATATACCCACAAGGGCCAAAAAAAAAAAAACCCAGAAGAAACGGCAGGAAGAAAAAATATTTTGGAAGCTGAAAAGCAGATGGAAGAATAGTAACTAACCTCATAGACCCAAGAAAGCCAACCCCCAAATCAGTAGAGGGCAAAGCTAAGAATCCCCCCAACTCCAAAAGACTAAGGAATTAACAGCACCAAGTACCTCTGGAAGTGGGAATGAAGGTGAAATCGAAAACAGGGTTTGAATATCAGTTTGAAAGTCTGTATCTCAGTTTCTCTCCCACACTGACTGCAGCCAGATGAATGCCCTTCATTTAGTCTGGAGATTTATTCTCTGGAGACAGATTTCTGTTCAGGATGGCACCAGGCATAGTTGAAATCATGAGTACCATATTTAAAACAGGGAATTGAGCTGGGCATGGTGGTTCACCCCTGTAATCCCAGCACTTTGGGTGGCCAAGGCAGGCGGATAACCTGAGGTCAGGAGTTTGAGACCAACCTGGCCAACATGGTGTGTACTCTCTCTTAGAAGCCTTGCCAGGTGCGGTGGCTCACACCTGTAATCCCAACACTTTGGGAGGTGGAGGCAGGCAGATCACCTGAGGTCAGGAGTTCAAGACCAGCCTGACCAACATGGAGAAACCCCATCTCTACTAAAAATACAAAATTAGCCAGGCATGGTGGTGCATGCCTGTAATCCCAGCTACTTGGGAGGCTAAGGCAGGAGAATCACTTGAACCTAGGAGGCGGAGGTTGTGGTGAGCCAAGATCGTGCCATTGCACTCCAGCCTGGGCAACAAGAGTGAAACTCTACTGCAAAAAAAAAAAAAAAAAAAAAAGAAGGTTATTTTTTTTCTCTCTTTTTTAATAGATTATCTTTTTCATTGGTTTTTTATTTTTTTTATTTTTTTATTTTTTTATTGCATTTTAGGTTTTGGGGAAAAAATAGGTTATTAAGTAGAAGTTTAATTGCTAAATATTGGGAACTCTAGCCTCTGCCCTTCCACTTAGATTCTAGAGCTTGGACAGCCAAGCTTACAGCGCCCAGAGAAGCTCGCTCTGGCCAAGGCCAAGAGGAAAGCTCTGACAATAGTGACGTTGGCAGTTCACCCAGTGACAACCCCCGGCTTGATCATACTGTGGTAGTCCATAATCAACAAGTACTACCGAGCCTTCAGAAGCGTCTACAGCTGGACAGGGGTGCATAGCCAAGGATCACCAGACATTTGAAAAAAAAAAACCTCTGATGTGGAAGACTGAGGCCAAAAGGAACATGCAGAAAAATGAGATTTGGGAAAAAATGGGAACAATGCCAAGCAAATAGTCTTAACGTCTTCAAAAGGAAGACATTAATCTTTAATCCTTTGAAGATATTTGTCTTAATATCTTCAAAAGATGAGGAAGTGCTGCCTCCATGAAACTAGAGCATATTGTTATCAAAGGAACATTCAGAAAACAGAAAGTTGCCCTTAAAAATTAAAAATATGAATGCAGAAATGAAATTTTCATTGAGGGAATGGCAGACGATTTCTGGTCACCTGAAAACAATTAGTAGCTCAGACGTGCTCAGCACAGAACCAAGCACAAGGCAGGTTTTTCAAATGAATCAGTCAATGAAAGAGTGCATTAAAATATCCTTCACACCTGTTATCTGTCCTCTGTGCCTCCTGGCATAATTCTTCTGAGCCAGGAGCCCAAGGAGGGCAAGGGCTTCGTGGACATTGCAATTGATGGCCTCTTAGGTCAATAAAATATGGCAGCAGCTTACATTTGCAGGCTGTTGTATAGTTTGCCACAGTATTTCACGTACCTTTTCCTTCTTAGGCTTCGCAATCTCCTGAAATGAGTTTTACCAACCCCATTATGAACACCAAGAAAGAGATTCCACGTGGTGAAACCACTGAGGACGGACGACCGCGTGGGCTGCGGGCGGTGGATTTAGGGGTGGAGTATCTTTTCCTTACCACGTGTTTTCAACAGATCATTTCATTTGGGTCTCCTCCACCAGCTGCTCTTTTGACAGCTGAAGGAAATGAGGCTGAGCGGAGTTCAGCAACACGCCCCACCCCACACGTCCAGTAAGTGGCAGAGCCAGGATCTGAATGCGAACATCCCTCCACTGCCTCTGCTGTTTGGCTGGTCTCAGGGGCCGAAGCTGTATTCCCGTGGGAACCAAACATGGGGAACCACCAGCCCACCCCAGAGTAAGACCCCACCACCGCCCACCCTTCTCCTGCAGCTCTAGTGCACTCACTGCATGAGCTTGTCCCGGGCCGGGTCTGAGAGGTAGCGTTTGGATCCAGGCAGGTATAAGGACCGATATCGCTGCCGCCGGTCCTTGGTCTCCATCAGCCAGGTGTTGAGGTAGCGGCCCACACCTACGGGGTTCTGCAACAGGGACAGGGTGGCAGGACAGTAGCAAGCCCGGCTTGGAGACTGCGTCTCAGCTCCCTCTCCTCCCTTCAGACTGCCCTACTCCATCTGTTATGAACTGAATTGCGTCCCCCAAAAGGAGATGTTGAGGTCCCAACCCCGAGTAACCCCAGTACCTCAGAATGTGAAATAAGGTTGCTAAGGACATCACTAGTGAAGGTGAAGCCACACTGCGGTAAGGTGGGTCCTTCATCCAATGTGACTGGTGTCCTCATAAGAAGAGACACACAGGAAGACAGCCATGCAAAAAGACAGACTGGAGAGATGGCTACAAGCCAGGGAACACCAAGGATTGCTGGCCACCTACGAGAAGCTACGAGAGGCAAGGAAGGATTCTTCTCAACAGGTTTTGGAGGGAGCACGGACCTGCAGGCGCCTTCATTTCAGACTTCTCGCCTCCAGAACTGTCAGAGAATATATGTCTGTTGCTTTAAGCCACCTAGTTTGCGGCAGCCCTAGGAAGGGAATACAGCATCTCACCCGGCTATCTGGGTCGCAGGTCCTCGAGGCAGCAACAGAGGGGTTGGGAAAGGAGATGTAACTTCCCCCAGGTGACATAGCAAGGGCAGAATTAAGGCAGGACAAGAACCCAGCCACCTGCAGAGAAGCAGTCCCAAGGCTGGGCTGGGGAGATGTTAGGACCCAGAAGCTAGTCCCATGCTAAACAGAAGTTGCCTCCCACAAGGGAGAAGCCTGTTTCAGGAGGTGCCAGGTTTCGGGGTGCAAGCTGAGGGGCTCTCCCACCCTGTGGGGCGTGGCCAGCTGAGCAACAAGAACCCGGACCTCACATCAGTCCTTGCCACTTCACGGTGGCTGACCCTGTGGTAGCAGCAGGGTCATTTGGCTCTGGTCTAAACATTTCACTTGGGGGCTGTCAGGTAAAGACTACTCCCCTGCGGGGTGCAGGCTGGAGGTGATAAAAGGAAGGATTCGGAGATGACCAGCTGGTCCTCACAAGAATTGGTCATTGGGGTCTGGGCATGCTGAGGACCTTGCCACCTTATAGGGAGGTGAGGTGCCTGGGATGTTCCCCAGAGGAAAAGCTCAGATGTCGGGGTGCAGGATGGGGCAGTGGGATGGAGCATGATGGGAAGGCGGGTAAGTTACAAGCAAGGCCTACCCAGGAGAGACCTTAAAAACGGAAAACCGTTCAAAACCTGTGCTACTGGAAGTCAGCACATCAGGCTATCTAATTGCAGGTGGGGGTGGGAACTGTGGATGCTCTTGGGGTGCTGGAAATGAGAGCTGTTAAACTCTCTGGGGGGTAGCTACGGGCCATTATCTGACAATTCACGGAGCTGTGCACTTAGGATTCAACATCTTTCTCTATGATTATTAGACCCCAATAAAAGGTGCATTTACAAACTGAAGAGGGGGTGGAATAAGAAACAGAATGAGGTCAAAGCCCAAGGCCAAGAATTTAGCTGGTTTACAAGACACTAACTAAAGATTACATTGCACACTTGGGCATGCCTCTGGAGAGAAGGAAGAGAGTGGGAAAGGGAAGGGGCGGGAAGGGGGCCTTGCTAGGCAAGGGATGGGAAAGGGACCAGCTTCAGCAGCTGCCCCTGAGGCCCAAGACAAATACAAAGAGCGAATGGAAGGAGCATATCTCTGGGAAAATAAAGAGAATGGCATGGCTGCCGTGTGATGTTTCTTAGCCCATTGGCTCTCAAAGTGTGGTCCCTGGAATAGCATCATCCCCATCACCTGAACTTGCTGGAAATGCAAATTCCCAGGTCCCAACCCAGGCCTACTGTATCAGAAGCTCTGACGTGGGGCCCAGCTGTCTGTTTTAACAAGCCCTGCAGGTGATGCTGATACCAGCTCAAGTCTGAGAACCAATGCCTTAGGAAATAAGAGTGGGAGTGGACCTCAGGCCCCTTGGGGAAAAGAAAGAGGAGGCATGTGGCTTACTCAAAGCATGGGTTGCAGGGGACAAAGAGGCTTTAGTGTTGGCTGTAGAGGCAGAAGAGCATTCCCACGTATCCCCCACCCCAGATCCACTCACCCAGCTTCCCAAAATCATCTGGCAGGCCTTTGCACCTGACCCCTTGGAGGAGAACAGGAACGGTGGATGGTTGACAGGTCTGCATTTCGTCTCTTGCGGAAGCCAGAAACCAGGGCCAGACGTGGCCTATGAGGAAGGAAGGAAGGCTGAAATCTGGAAGGCTGTGCCAGTGTCAGCCTGGGCCCAGGGCAGCTGAGGGCTCCTGGCAGCTGACTCCGCCCGTTCAGCAGCCCTGGGTCTTGAGCCAAGGATGGTGGGAGGCACCAAGCTACCTCCCAGCAAAGCGGCCCTCATGACCCATGCCACCCACTCTAGCACCACCCCCCACCACAGCCTAACGCCTCTTTTCAGGTGCCCAAGGGCCTTCATGGTCTGGTGGGGCCCAGACAGCTGAAGACCCCGTTTCTGAGGAAGGAGGCCACACCAGACTTGGAGCCAGATGAGCTGGGTTCCAATCCCAGCCCCTTCTCACCCTTGTTGGGAGAATTTGGGCAAATCCCTTTCCAGATCTGGGCTTCTGTTGCCTTTAGTGAAATGCAACTGATAATCCCTACCTCAGCAGGATGGGGCGGGGGGTTGGAAAAGTGCCTCGAAGGGGCAAACCCTGCTTGGGGGGCCTGCTCAGACCCCCAGAGGGCTGCTTTGACACCAGCGCTGAGCTCACCACTCCCTTGGGTGGAGCAGGTGAGCAGGCCCTCCAGTGGGGAGCTGTACTCTGCCCTGCTCCAGTTTCCTCTGCCCATCCTCCAGCACTCTGAGGCCAGAGGAAGGGGAAGGTCAGCACTGGGTAGGCCCTTCCTGGGCACCACACACCATGCTACGAGCTCTGAGTACACAGCCCCATCTAATTCTCATAACCACTTCACCATCTTCATAGGACAGGGGTGTCAACCGAGGCCTGACCAGGATCTCATCTGAAGTGTCCCAGCGTCCAAGACCAGGACTAGAAACCAAGTCAGTCTGATCCCAAGACTGAGCTTTCCCCATGAAATTAACCACCCTGCCCCACGCCGAGCCCCGGCAGGAGGCTGCCCTCCAAGAGAGGAAGGCCAGCCATAGCAGCGAACTGACCAGAAGGCGGGGGCACTGGCTAAGGGTAGACCAGTAAATCCTCTCCGTAGGGATTTTCGGGTTGCGGGGAAGTTTAGAAAAAACCCCATGTTTCTTATTGTGACGTGAGTTAAGTTCTTCTACAAAGCTCTTGAAATTCATCAGTTCCCTGGGCTTTTTTTTCTGAGAAAAAGACAGAAAAAGGAATCTGTTATGCCAAGAAAATCAAGAGCTTCTTTCTCAACCCTCCCCTGCAACCAGAGAAAAGCAATGGGGTGTCACTTACTACCCTGCTGTGCAGACATCCCGGAGGCCAGGCCAGTCTCAACGGCCCCTCGACCTGGGCTGGTGGTCAAGGGGCCACCAGCAGGCCGGGGCAAAGTTCGTCTCTTGCACCCCACACCTGCCACATCCCACAGCCCAGCTCCTTTTCATCCATTTCTTCTTTCTTTCATTTGTTGGACATGTATCGAGTCTGGCACTGTTCTAAGCAGGAATGATACCTTAAATATTTAAAACCAGCACGACCGGAGGAGCACAGAGGATTTGGAGGGCAGTGAAACTATTCTACATGATAATAAAATGGTGGCTGCATGTCACACATTTGTCCAAACCCACAGGATGTATATATACCACCTGAGTGAACCCTAAGGCACGCCATGCAGTTGGGGTGATAATGACTTATTAGTGTAGCTTCTTCAACTGCAGCAAACGAACCAGGATGCTGTGGGATGCTGATGGTCAGGGAGGCCGTACATGCTATAGGGAGGGCAGTGTGGTATATGGGAACTCCTTGTACATTCCACTCAATTTTGCTGTGAACCTGAAACTGATCTAAAAAAAAAAAAAAAAAAGTTTGGCCAGGCACAGTGGCTCACTGTAATCCCAGCACTTTGGGGGGCCAAGGCAGGTGGATCACCTGAAGTCAGGAGTTCGAGACCAGCCGACCAACATCTCTACTAAAAATAAAAAATTAGCCAGGTGTGGTGGCGCATGCCTGTAATCCCAGCTACTCAGGAGACTGAGGCAGGAGAATCCCTTGAACCCAGGAGGTGGAGGTTGTGGTGAGCCGAGATCATGTCACTGTACTCCAGCCTGGGCAACAAGAGCAAAACTGTCTCAAAAAAAAAAAAAAAAAAAAAGGGTTTCACAAACAAAAGCAAAGAGCATGGCCTGGGCACTGGCCAGTCAGAATGGGCACTGGCCACAGTGCCTGTGGAGGGTCCCTTGACCCCTGCTGTAGCTGGTCATGGGGAGGTCTGGGAGGCTCCAGGGAGCAGCCAGTTCGAGGCCTTAGCTCAGTGGCTGCCTACCAGCTAGCCCCAAAGTCCTTCGGCATTAACCACCACCACCCCCCAAGCGCTCCAGAGCTCTGCCATGGCACTCATCGCCTGCTCACACTCAAGAATTTTTTTTTTATTCATTGATAACTGAGTTTCTTTTCCCACAGAATGTAAGTTCCACAAGGTTGCTTTCCCCTGCACCTCGCCTGCTACCTGGCCTGATCATACCCACTGCGAGAATGCAAAATGGAGAAAAGACAAACAGGCAATTAGACAAAACCTAATTCCAACGGCTATGAGCACAAAACAGGCAAAGCACAGCGCACTGTGAGATCACATCACAGGGACTTGATGGGGGCGGAAAGGAGTCCACCAAGGTAAAATTCTACCTCAGTTTCCCCTCCTGGGCCTCCTTGTTCTCTGCTTTGTTAACAGCACTGGCACTAACCCAGCCAGCTTGGTCTACAATGCCTGCTGTCTCCAAAATAAGAGGGTGCCCCCCGCCTTGTGTCATCAGGGTTCCTCATGGCCAAGCTCCCCTGGCACTGTGGGCCATCTTTGCCTCCTGGGCTCGTCATGCCAATGCAGAGGAGAGAGCTGGCAGTGGCAGTGAAGTCAGACAGGTGTCCTTGGGTTCAAATCCCAGCTCTGCTCCTCCCAGCCGTGTGGCCAGCCTGTTTTCCTTACCTAGCACCGGAAGCCGGATGCGCCTGGCTGTGAGGGTGAAGCGAGGTGGGGTGGAAACAGCCCGGTGCAGAGCCTGGCGCACAGGCTGCTGTTCTGGTGCTGACTAGTGGGGCCTGTCATCCTGCTGGGGCATGAGCCAACACCTTCCACCCTCCAGGTACACACCTGCATGGAGTAGTGTCCATAGGGCAGCGGCTTGCTCCGATCACCAGAGAAAGTGTCATAGGGACCACGCGTGCCAACGGATCGTGCCACGTATGTATCAATGCCACTTTTGATGGAGTAGGTGCCGGGTGCCAGACCACTGCCCTAGAGCACAGCAGAGGCAATGAGGCCTGCAGGACAGCTCAGCTTCCCCCTCTGCCCTGGGAGTGCCCCTCCAGGATGGGAAGGCAGGCTAGGCCTGGCCAGCCAAGGGGGTACCTGATGAGCCCGCGGGTGGGGCTTGTTGCTCATCCTGCACATGAGGCCCTCGGAATGGGACCGCTTCCAGGCATTCTCCTCCAGCTTGGTGTATGGGTTGCCCTTCTCCCCATAATTTCCAGGGCCCGGGTAGTAGTTCTGTGGGGCGGGGTGGGGGCATAGAGGCCGTCAGACCCACTCCTTGTGCTGAGCGTGCTCCTGAGGAACACCTGGGATTGCCATCCCAAGAAGGGAACGGGCTTTTCAGGGTGCCCGCTTGCTACCTGCCCTCTGACACATGACATTGTTGCCCGTCAGCCTCCACCACTGCTCATACCTTCACCTCCAAGCTCAGCCTCTTCCCTGGGCTCCAAAGTCCTGTCCAAGTTACATCTCCCTGCTTCCTCCTCACATCACACACTGGCCAACACAGTGGGCTCCTTGCTGCTCCCCAAACACAAGCCATTCTGCCCAACCTTCCCTCGTTGGCTCATGCTGTAACCACTACTCCAAATGCCCTTCCTGCCCTCTTTGCCTTGGACAATTCCACTGTTCCTGCAAAGCCAGCTCAAATGTCATCTCCTGGAAATGAAGCCTTCCTGCCCTACCACCTGAGACCATTGCCTGCTTTGGTGGATCTGGCAATTCCAGTCTTCGCACCCCTGCACCACAGCCCTGCGTGACATGAGGACTTTCTCAGTGTGCTGTTTCAGGGAAGGACTGTCGTTCTGGGTTCAGATCCTGGCTCTGCCGCCTCCTAGCTGAGTGACCGCGGGCCTTCTGAGTCTCATGGTCCATACTGGTACCACGGGATAGGAATACTTTCTTCTAGGAAATGGCGATGAAGTTAAAGAGTGTCTGTAAAATAATGTCTGCAAGCAAGCGAAGGGGGCTGGGCGGAACGGCGTGTGCTTCAGGAGTAGCAGAAGCCCACCATGTCCCAGCGTGGGATACAGGGAAGCAGCAGCGAGACAGGGACGGGCCAGTGGGGCCCTGCAGGAGAGGCTGAACTTGGAAGTGTAGGTGCGAGCAGTCGTGGAGGCTCACAGGTGCCTGGCACATAGCGACACTGACACGTGGTAAGTCAGGGTGGGGTGGCTGAAGGTCTTGGAGGGGCAGGAGGAGAGGTTAAGAACTGATTGGAATGACCATCTGGGACCTGGGCTGCCAGGGTTCGAAGCGTGATTTTGTAGGCAGAGTGAGGCGAGAAGTCCACCTTGGGGAGACACCTGGCGGGACACGTTCTGCTGCTCTGCACCTTTTAGCCACGCGGGGTCACTGCTGCTCCATAGATGGCTCGGCTGTACCCACCTCTGAGCCTGGCACCTGACCCTGGGGAAGCATGATGGGACAGAGAGGGCAGGGACCTCTGCATGGGGAGTCAGACCACTAAAGGCATCCAGAGGAACGGGACTACAAGTCTCCTTCCGGGGTTCCCACGTATGTTCTGGAGAAAACCCCCGAGGATAGCTGCATGGTGTGTTAGGTGCTTCACAAGCCTCAGCATCTTGGTCCTGGTAGTGACTGGGGGAGATCAAGTCAGCACCATCCACAACTAACAGATGGGGAAACTGAGTCTCGGAAAGGCAAACTGCGTGTCCCATGTCCCAACTCCAGAAAGGGACAGCATGAGGGTTTCAACTCCAAAGTCCATAACCTTTCTGAACCTCTACTGTTTGCCAGGCACTGTGGAAGGCACTAGGTGGGTGAGCAGCGGTCACCACAGGTCCTGGGAGACTTTGAAGAAGAGGGTTATGCCAAGGGTCAGAGTGGCCCTGCTCCTGGAGCCCAGAGGCAAGTGCAGCACTGGGCACTTTGTCGGGATAATCCCATTTCTTCCTTAAAACCTTCAGGTTCAGACATTCAGTACCACATCTGGGCTTATGGGAAAGCCCATGGTTTTAACTAGAACGTTATGTTGTCAGCGCTTTGGGAACTCAAACAGGAATGATTAATTGGAGAGGGGAGTGTGGGAATGAATAAATCATCACTTGTAAGTTGTTCTTTTTTTTTTTTTTTTTTTCAGGCTGGACTTTGAAGAATGGAAGGATTCCCAAAGACAGGTAGGAGGGAGGGTGGGAAGGTCCCCCGGTCAGAAAGAGCAAAGGCAGCAAGGAAAGACAGTCAGCTTGTCCCCTCAGTTCCCTGCCATCAGTGAGGCTGAGTTCCCACACCCAGGCCCTGGCCTCCACAGAGACTCAGGGAGCAAAGTCCAAGAACTGCGGGGGGGCCACGCCTATGGGTGAAATGCCTGGTACATGTTGGACACCTGGGATTGAAAAGTCTGCTTCTGCCAGCCGGTAGCTTCATGACCTTGGGTGGTAGGTTACTTAGCCACTTTATACCCCATTTTTCTCATCTGTAGAATGGACATAATGATAGTGCCTACTTCATAGGGCTGTCATGAACATGAAATTAATTAGTACATGTCCACTATTATTACTTTGGATTGGTTTAAATGTTCCAGGCATCCCCTCTCCCTAAGTTACAGTTACAGCTTCTGCACCTGAAGATGCATCGTGTCAGGGGGAATTTCCAGCCTTCACAGAAGCGTTCCCAGTGTTGAGGTGCAGGAGAAAGGCCCTGGCTCTGGGACCGGACATTCCCTTGTCTGCATCTCAGCAGCTGGGGCAAGCTGCTTATCTTTTCTGAGTCTCCAGGGCCTCATCTGGAGTAGTTGCAAAGAATTAAAGAGAATGTGTTGGAGCACCTGATACTTAGGGTGCACGCACTTATTCAGTCCACAAATACTTCCTGCGTGCCTATGTGTGCCAGGCACTGCTAGAACCCCAGAAGGCTGCAGTGAAGGAACTGAGCAGATGTGGTCCACCCTCAGGAGCTGCTGTCCAGTGCAGAGGGACGCTGAACACACAACCACAATGGAGACGCCTAGGGAGACGCCACCTAGCAGGGCCGAGGAAGGCTTCTGGAAGCTGAGAGCCGCAGGATGAGCAGGCGTGCCCTAGGAGAGGCTGCTGAGGGAGGAAGGGCATTCCTAGCAGAGGGAACAGCAGGAGCCGAGCCCCATGTGAAGTGGCATGGCCTGTGTGAGGGGCTGGGAGATGGATACCAGCGTCCAGCACAGAGAGGTCCAGGCTAAAAACTGCAGCGCTGGCTCCCTTGGAAGGGGGTGACGCCTGCCTTCTCCCTTGTGCCCTTACTGAGCCTCGGTGTCACTCAGCGTCCTCCTAATGGGATCATCATCTCCCAGTGCTGCCACCCCCGCCTCGCAGCACCATTGCCTCCTCCCAACTCTGGCCCTCACAAGGGTATTCCTCCAAAAAGGTAAGTCAGGTCCCCCTGTCAAAGCTCTCCACTGCGCTCCAGCAGCACCTGGAATAAACACCAAGGCTCCACATCAGCTGCAGGGGCCTCGTGACCCAGCCCTTCACTCCTCCGCCCCATCGCTCGCCTCCTCTCACCCTCACCCAGTGCCCTCCAGCCACACTGGCTTCCTGCCTGCAGGTCTGATTCGACAGGCATGTTCCCGCCTCAGGGCCTTAGCCTCTGCTGCTCCAATGACTAGAATGCTCTACCAGACACTGCAAGGCTCCGCTGCTCATGACCTGCCAGTCTGCTCAAATGTCACCTCCTCCCAGAGCCCTGACTACCCTCTATCAATTGCACCAGCATCACTGTCTGTCCCTTCCCTGTCTCATTTGTGCTCACAGCCCTGCTTATATATGTATTCTATTTCCTTCTTTGTACTACTGTTTCCCCCACTAGGACATCTACTTCAGGACAGCAGGGACCTTGTCTTCATCACTGCTAGATTCCCAAGGCCTCGGTCAGCGTATGCCACTTAGGAGGTACTTCACCCTTATTCCCGGCTTGCTAGAGGGATGTACAAGTGAATGAATTTGCTGGGCACCCCACGTATGCCAGGCTGTCTGCTCGGGACTCCAGACATGAGAACACCTACCCCAATGAGTCCTCGGAAGCGAACCTCCCCAGAGCTGAGCAGCCCCCGGGTGCTACATGGTTTATCCCGCAGCTGTTCTAAGAAGTCTTTGAGGTTGTAGGAGCCAGGCCCCAGCTTTTGCTCCTGTGCCAAGAGAAAAGAGCAGAAGATAAGAGCCTTAAACTTGGGAAAGTCCAGACAGGAAGAAGCTCAAGGCGTGATGGTGTTCCTTAAAGGATAATCTCCATCTGGCCCTGGGAGGACACTGATGGCCACACGGAGCAGCTGCGATGGACAGGAAGACCTGGCACCAGAGAGGGAGAGGCCTGGCCCCAGAGGCCTCACCTGCAGCCGCTTCTCTTTCAGGATGGCCTGGTACTGGAAGTGGGGTAGCTGGGTCAGCCGCGTGGCTTCCTGGGCCTTGGCCCAGCCTGTGTCCACCTCCTTCATCAGCTTCGTCTTGCTGAAGCAGGTCTCCTTGGAGCTGTAGGTCCCAGGGCCTATGTGGGACTGAGTCAGGGCGTGGTCAGAGCTGTGACAGCCGCACCTGCCCGGTCCTCCACACAGCAGGTCCTTACCAAGCCACCACCCTGGCCCGGAGGCAATCTGCCCTGCAGCTGCCACCCTCAACACCGCGGCTGCCACCACCAGGCCTGGCACTCAGGTGCAATCATCACATCCTCTATCACTGCCCCTCACACTGCAGGGAGGTGGAACAGCTCCTTCCAGAGCCCACAGCCAGTCAGTGCACAAGCTGGGAGTGGCGCAGCCCCTCGCTTATCAAACACACTGGAAGCCCCCAGCAGGCCCAGCTCTATGCTGGAAGAATGCAGAAGATCCGCTCCTTCTACAGCTCAGCTCATCCACCACAGCAGGCAGCTCAGAGGGACAGCGGCCAGACGCTGTGGGAGGAATCGGGAAAGCTGTGCAAACTCACCACTTCCACAGAGTAACGCGTGGAGTACGGGGCCTCAGTGAAGGTGCTGAGCTTCTTCCGGTTGGGATAAACAGCAGAGATGTCAAACCTAGGGGGGGCCAGAGGCCCAGTGAGAGCCTGTGCCTGGCCCCTGGCCCTGGCTTGGGCAGGCCTGGAGCATGGGGGAGCTGGTTGCCCATGGAGGTGACTTTGGAACAAGCTCATGAAGAAAAAGCAGCAGAGCTGCAGTGGCTTCGAATGTTCCAGGCCACTCCCACCCCACCCTACCTGCCAGCTCCTCCCCCCAGCTTCATGTTTTTCCACAGCCCTTATCAATATCAAACATTTTACAAATATACATACTTTTCTTTATTATCCACCCCCACCCCCACAGAAGAGCGCAAACTCCATGAGCACAGCAGTTTGCTGTTGTGTTCACTACTGTAGCCCCAGATCCTAGAACAGTGCCTGGATCCCAGCAGGTGAGAGAGAGAGACAGAGTGGAATATGAATGAATGGGAGACAGACACCTGGGCTGAAATCTCACCCACCGACGTTTGAGCTGAGTGGCCTACTATGGACCAGGCCATGCACAGAGTAGGTGCTCTTGAAATGGTTTTAAAGAACTCACCGAGATGGTAAAAGAACCCTGGACAGGGAAGAGCAGTAAGTTTGGGGAGAAGAGTAAGTCCAGCCCCTTCTCACTGCCAGCCCCTCCTCCCGTTATTCCCCTCCCTGCCAGGCTGAGCCCCGTGTAAGTGGACACCCTCTCTCTCGAGCTCAAGGGTGGCTTCGGGGTGGGCAGTGGCTGCCTTAGACCGTAGGCGTGAGCCCAGGACGCAAACAGACCCCACCTGTGGCTCTGCACCCCGAAGGGCGCACCAGTGAACCATTTGGTGGCCATGGCGCTGGCGCGGTTCCAGCCACTAGCCACTAGCTCCTGCGGGGTCCTGGCCTTCCCTCACCGCGGGCCTCCGCGGCCGCCTCTGCCGCTGCCACGGCAACCAGGCCTTGTGATGCGCCTCGGAGCTGTGGGCCACGCCCTCCCGCACCACCCTGCGCGTGTAGCCTGCTGATTTTTCACTTGTCCGTGCACATTTCCAGGGTCCTTCCCTGGCCCCTGCCGATGTTATGGCCCTTCTTGTATTTAACATGGATGCCATCGAGTGGGGCCATTTGTTGAGGAAGTGTTTCCGATTTCCGGCTTTGTCCCAGAGCCCTGCATGGAGCCTGCCTAGGCTCAGAAAGAACCTCTTAATGTTCACCTTGTGCTGATGGGAAACTGAGGCCCACAGAGAAGGCAGACTTGGGCAAAGGACATCCAACTCCTTCTCTACTCTGGGAAGTCAGGGGAGCAGATGTAAGGGGGACGGGGCAAGGAAAGCCAGAGGTTGGAGGGCTGGGCAAGACTGCAGGGATAGCCAGGACTCAACCGGGCCCTAGACACCCCTGGCACCCACTCCGGGCAGACATCGTGCAGAGCGCCTGGGACCCAGATATGGCCCCTGCCCTGAAAGTAATGGGGGAAGCAATGACCACATACTGTGGTCAGGTCTATGAGAGAGGGAGGCCTCTGACCCAGCCTGTGGGTAGGTAGGTCAGGGAAGGCTTTCTGGAGGAGAATTCCAAACTCAATATTGAAGCATATGGATGACTTCCCACATAAAGAAAGGAATTGAGGGCATGTGCCCCACATACACCTGCAATTCATACGTAGTCAGCTGTCTCCTCCCTCCTTCCTTACCCCCTCCACCAGTGCTCCACAGCCATGTTCTGAGATTGTCTAATTTCTCCCATGATGGCCTGTGATCTTCCCAAAGGTCTTAGGCAAAGGTGGGGCAGAGATCCATACCCCATTCCATGGTGACAGCATTGAAGCCAGAAAGGTGTAAGTTGTACCAGAAGTCCTGCTTCTGGCCCATGCTGAAGCTGGATCAGAGGCACAGTGGGTCTTCTGCCAGGCCCCACCCAATGCCCTTCTGACATCCCAAGCCAGTAATTAAATAAGAAGTGTGGCTCCCCAGCACAGCTGAGAGCTGGACTCTTGGGCACATGGCCTGACAGGCACATGGCCACAGCTGGCAGAGCGTCTGCACTGCACCACTGAGCTGATGGTCAGAGGTGTCAGGCCTCAGGAACAGGCAGCCTGGGTCATCTAAGCAGACTCTGCCTTTCCCAGCCATGGGACCTTGAGCAAGCCACTTCTTTGAGTCTCAGCATTATCAGTTTCATTCTATAAAGTGAAACTAATCATCTCTGTCTCTCAGGCTGCTGGGAGAAGAGAATGAAATGACCTGATTTAGGTAATACCCTTTGCACACAGCAGGAGCTCAACTGAAGGTCATTCCTAGCCCTTGGATAGGGACCTTACAGAGGCCTGAGGACAGAGACTTGTCTCATTTCCTCCTGGTGCAGCATCCATCACATAGCAAATGTTCAGGAAATATTTGTTGAATGACAACTGAATGAATACATGCATCTAGTCCAACTACCCAATAACACATAAATCCTTGAAGAGACATTTAAATCCGGCTCTGCCACTTCCGAGCTGCTGGCCCTGGGCAAGTTACCCTTGCCAACTTGGATTTCCTCTTCTGTGACAGGGATAGTCAGGCCTCAACCAGGCCCTACACGCCTCTGGCACCCACTCTGGGCAGACATCGTGCAGAGTGCCTGGGACCTAGATGTGGTCCCTGCCCTGAAAGTAATGTGACATTGACATATGACTGTAGCTTCCCAGGAGGGCTGTTTCGAGGTGTCGGTGAGGTGTGGACATGCACACGCTCCAGTCCGTGCACTTCAGCCAGCCCTGGGTCTGCTCGGATATTCTCAGGGTGGCCCAGACATGCCTGCAGCTACATTGCTGCTTGTCTTCTGGCCTGAGCCTCCTGGCTCCAGAACTCATGGAGGAGTGACCGAAGGCTATAAGCCAAGGTCCACCGGGCTGGGAGTCCTGGCTGCCAGGGAGGCCAGAAAAGGCCAAGTGAGTCAGCTCTGCAGCAAGGCCACGCCCTGGTGAGGCCAAGGTCTCCCATTACAGCAGCTTCCTTGTCATAGCACCTCACTCATTTTCTTTTATAGGCACCATTGCACGCTCATTGTACACAGGAGGAAACTAAGGCTGGGACTGGGGAGGATAACTTGCCCTGCACTTCTCATGAACCGTAGGATCATACCATGAACGTGAGACTCATAAAGACATTTGAGAGCTCTCTGGCTGCAAGAGTGTCTAACCCATCCAGACTCCAGAGCCACCTGTCACGTTAGTGGGGTCAAGTCAAGCTGCTCAGCCAGGCCTTGGGCCTCTGTGATGGGGCTGTGGTCGCTGCCTTCAGTCTTCATCTCCTGCCCTCTCTGCCCCATGCTCTATAAGCTCCAGCCACAAGGCTGCTCTGTCCCTAGTATCCCCTCCCCCACTGGAGAACCTCCGGCCTTTTCATATATTTGCTGCTGATGATATGCACCCCCACCAACCTCCCCTTCCCGCCCAACTCCTACTCATCTTGTTCAGAGTCAAATCAAAAGGCAAACACACCCATTAGGATGGCTATTATTTTTTTAAAAAATTAGAAAATAATATGTGTGGGCGAGGCTGTAGAGAAACTGGAGCCTTCGGCCATTGCTAGTAGGAAAGTAAAATAGTCCAGCGTCTCTGGAAGACAGTATGGCAGTTTCTCAAAGAATTAAACATAGAATTACCATATGATCCAACAATTCCACTTCTGGGCATATACCCAGAAGAATGAAAGGCGGGCGGGAGCTCAAACATGCATTTGTACGCCCATGTTCATAGCAGCATTGCTCACAACAACCAAAAGGTAGAAGCAATACAAGTGTGCATCGACAGATACACGGATAAACAAAATGTGATATAGTCACACAGTGGAACATTGTTCAGCCTTTAAAAGGAAGAAAATTCTTTTTTTTTTTGAGACAGAGTCTTGCTTTGTCGCCAGGAGCCAGGCTAGACTGCAGTGGTGCAATCTCAGCTCACTGCAACCTCCCCCTCCTGGGTTCAGGCAATTCTTCTGCCTCAGCCTCCCGAGTAGCTGGGACTATAGGCACGCACTACCACACCCAGCTAATTTTTGTATGTTTAGTAAAGACGGGGTTTCACCATGTTGGCCAAGATGGTCTCAATCACCTGACCTCGTGATCCGCCCACCTCAGCCTCCCAAAGTGCTGGGATTACAGGCATGAGCCACTGACCCGGCTAAAATGAAGGAAATTCTAACACATGCTACCACATGGATGAATCTTGAAGACATTATGTTAAGGGAAATGAGCCAGTTGCAAAAGAACAAATGTTATATGATTCCACTTATGTAAGGGAAGTAGAGTAGTTGAACTCACTGAAACAGAAATAGAATGGTGGGTACCAGGTGCTGGGTGGGGAGGGAATGAAGAGTTATTGTTTTACGGGTATGGAGTTTCCATTTGGGAAGGTGCAGAAGTTCTGGAGATGGAAAGTGGGGACAGTGGTTCAACAGTGCCCTCAGGGACAAGGGTTAGGCCAGGGGAGCATTCATGCCCCTAAGGCCACTGAGCTGTACACTTAAAAATGGTTAACACCATACATTTTTTGTTAAGTATATGTTGTCGCAATTTTTTTTTTTCAAAGCCAAACCCTCTGGGAATCCATCCCTGATACTCTCAAGCAGGGAAGAGAACAAGTTTCATCTCAGGATCACCAGCCATATATAGCAAATTTTTCAATGAGAAATTATTAAAATTAATTTTATATTTAAAAATTGACAGGTGAAACATATCACCAGGATGTTGTTTTAATTTAACTCTTTTTACAATAATGTCAAATATTTTTCCAAGTTTACTAATTTGTTCTATTTACTCTTTTGGTCTCTGTTATTCCATCTTGAAATGCTGGTCTCTGTTGCTTCATCCTGAAATATATCTACATTTCATCTATGTGAAATATATTTTATACATTTAATCTATATGAAATATAGATATTTACATCTATATCTTTATAGACATGTATAGATATTGCACCTAGATTTCATCTAGATTTATATTTCATCTATCAAGATGAAACAACAGGGATGGCAGGAGCCAGGCCCAGGCGGAAGGAGGAGCGGGAGGAACCAGCTCCCGCCGCAGGCAGCACTGCCACCCAGCCTCCAGGCCAGAGGTTAGGGGACCACTCTAGACCTGGGAGGAACACTGGCCAGAGCAAGAAAGCTGGGCGCACAGGTGGAGTGCAGGATGGGAGGGGATCCCAGCTGGAGGAGTGGCAGCTGACATTTATCCAGAGTGGCAAATTTTCAGGCTTACCTGATAAATGGGGAAGGATTGTCATCCTCATGTCACAGCTGATGAAAGTGTGGTGGGTCATACTTTATTAGGGGTGGAGAAGCGGGATTAGAACCAGCACATGCAGCTCCTTTGCACAGGAGCTCACTGCTAAGCAGAGAGCGCTCAGAGAAATCCCAGGTAGGAAGCCTAGTAAGTAATGGCTGAAGGAAGAGAGGAGGGCAGTGGCAGGCTCCATTAGGAGGAAGGGCACTGAGGACCTGCGGAGAAGATGGGACAGCGGCAGGAGCAAGGGTGGCTGCCGCAGCTGGAACGGCCAGTCCTGACAGCTCAAACAGACAGGGCGGAGCAGCGCCCCTGGAGGCAGGGCCCGGCCTTCAGCAAACTGGGGTCCCGGCCCTACCTACTTGGGTACGCCCCGGTTCTGTGACCTGGGCAAGTTCTCTTCCTCTTCTGAGCCTCAGTTTTCTCCTCCGAGCCTCAGTTTCCTCCTCTGCTTAGCAGAGTTAAAAACACGCCTTTTGCCTTGCACCGAGGTTTGTGCGCCCCGTATTTGACAATGCGCCTGTTTTTCTGGCACACCTGGTTGTGCAATGTCAGCGTCTAGAAGCCGCTGAGCAGCGAAAGCGGAAACACCCACAGGGCGCTCCTCGGGCCCACCCACCCGCGGGAGGCGCCCCGAGACCGAGAGGCGGCGGCGCCCGGGGCCTCTGCGCGCCGCCCCTGGCCTCCCGCACGGAGCTC